CCTCCAATGTAATCCACATCTCGTTGTAGTGTGACTCTCCGCAACCACAGGGAGTGGTTTAGCAAGGAAATTGGAGAGTTGCACTGTGGTGCTTGTTCTGTCGAATCAGCCGTCTGATCTTGGGCACATTAGGTAGCATGTGTTTGATGATCATCGCTAGCACGGCCACCTTCTTCAGATCATGCAACCTGCGGTAGGCCAGCAAGCCAGATTTTCCCCCGCCGCTCGGACTCGTAATTTGATCCAGTCCCAGCCCCTGGGAGAGAGCACCCCACCACGGTTTGTTGCCTAACGACCATCAGTGGGGGCGATTCCCTTGTCCAGGGGGAACATGCGCTTGGGGGTGAGTAGTGCCGGGATGGTTGGAAAAGGTGATGGAGGAGGGAAGAGGGGACCAGGGCTCCAGGGCTCATTGACTAACGGCCGCGGGTTGGCTGCTCAACTGTCTACCTACACCTGCGAAGTAGGTGCGCGCATGTGCACAATTTGTTACATGCAGTTGCAACGCTGGCGAGCCACATTGCTGCAGCGTTGGCAAGCGGTGTTGGCAGGTCACTGACTTGCCGCCTCGCAGCTGCGTCGGAGGTCGACCTGCCTGTCTACTAGGTTGCCTTGCATCTGATGTAGTCAAATTTGCCATAGCTTTAGCATCATTGTGTAATTCCATTTGCTAGTCAAACTCTTGCCAACTTTCTATGCGGGCATGCAAGTAGTGAAAACACAAGCAAAGTTACTTACACTCGTACCACCTGTGGCTTCTAATGCAGTTCAGCTACCCCCGAGTGAAGTCACTATCCGAATGGACGGCCCTGCAACAGACCTTCAAAATTGCTGACTTTTGAGCTTTTCCTAAGTCGTGGTATAGGTCGGCAGACGCCTTAGTTGCCATGGTCGACAAGGAAGTCGATGCAAGAGAAGGACATATTCTACATGCGCGACAGGCTGACGTGCGGGAGCGCCACCAATATGGTGAGTACGACTGGGCGGACTTAAAGATGCTGCTCCTAGAAATTCGTTCGCAATGGTCATGTGACCATCCCCTCCCCATAAAGAAGTGGGCGGTGTGTCCGCCTCTCCCCGACCTGAGGACGACGATGGCGTCGTCAACCTCGTCGACGATGGAGGCACAAGGGTGATGCGTGGAGTGATTTGTGGATCTACCTGGGCCGCTGACGTCAGAGTTGGCGTTGGTGGGATGCAGGCGCAAATAATGTGGTCGGCGGCCATGGGCAGCTCGCACGGCAACGTCTGATGGCCGATGTGGCCGGGTGTGCTGGAGGCATTGCGTCGACGTACGGCTACTTCAAGTTCTTGTTGAAGGCAATTTGGTGGTAACCGCGGCGTAGGTCAATCTTCGAGAAGTAGTGAGCGCTGCGAAGTTGGTCGAGGAGGTCGTTGGTGCGTGGGATGGGATAGCTAGATTTGATTGTTACCCAATTGAGCGCGCAATAGTCGATGCACATGCGTATGCCGCCATCCTTTTTTGGCGTGAACTGGATCGGCGTAGTGAAGGCTGAAGTAGTGGGTGTGTTGAAGCCCTTCTCCTTGCCGTCGTACTCTCACACATGCGGGCAGAGTAATCAGCCCCTCATGCTTGAACAAGCCCGTCGTCCAGTCAATTATCGGATTGTGCCGTCGCAGCCAATCGCGTCCCATGAGCACATCGTAGCTGTCCAACGTTGTCGCGAGAAACTTGATGTTGAAGCCAAAATCGTCGCCGCACTCAATCGGCACCGTCCGTGTCTCCTCCAAAATCGCCAAAGGCGTCCCATCCACAAGGCGAGCGTCAATTTCGGACAGACACCTGTCAAGGGGTAACTTCATTTTTTTTGCTGTCTCCAAGTAGAAGAGGCTACGGCTAGCCCCGCCAGCGACGAACATTTTTTCTTCTTAACAATCGTGCCAACAACCAGCACAGGGTGATTTACATGATCATCCCCGTTATTCGTCCGAGTGCGATCGATTGCATGAATCGGAACCACGACTTGGTGGGGATGGTGGGGTTCGGGCGACAGAGCACAGTCAGTAAGGGGCCCATTTTCTACCGACTCTTCCTGTTTCCCGGCTCTTTCCCGTCGTTCCGTTTTCCCTGCGTCCTATCGGGGCAGTCTTAAAACACGGCTTCCCGCACTTAAAACACAACCCTGTAAAAGGGCGGTCTGGCGCATGGACTCCGTTAATCGTGGCCCGCTGGGTCTGTCCACGAAACCAGTTTCCCTCCCAAGAACTCGATCTCGCCCACTCCATCAGCGCGTTTGTGCTCTCGGCCAGTCGGACGGCTTCGTTGAATGTAGTCGGGCGGTTTCGGCGCACCTCGAACTGTACTTGAGGCCGCCAATGTATTTGTCCAACCGCTTCGCCCCCGCCATGTCGTCCACTTGGTCCGCGAGCGCCATAAACGATGACATTGAGTCTTGAACAGATGCCAACTGCGACCAGGTACGCAGCTTCATGCGAGCGTGTTCCGAGGCGGATACATGCTCGAAAGCGTTCGGATGGCTGCGCCCAGCTGTTTCCATGTGCAAATTGCAACCACACCGAATGTTGATGATGCCCTCCTATGTGCAGAGTTTGAATTCCCATCTGCCACATGTGTCAGACCCGCCAGGGTCCCCGTGTCCAAAGTTCGTCGCCACCACTCAAGCGCCGGGCCTCGCAGAAGCGATACCGCGTAATTAATACGCGTGGCGTCGTCGTTAACATTTGCTGCAGTGAAGAAAACCTCCAGTCCAAACCACCCCTTAACTCTAGTGTTATTGTCTCTAGGGGTGTACATGGGCGGGCTCATATGTTTTATCTTCATAGTTGTCACTGCAACTGTTGACGCTGTCGCTCGCTGCCTATCTTCTTCTTCGAAGCCGCGTGTGAGCTCCTCCAACGGATTGCCGCTCACCGCTTGACCAGTGCTCTCGCCTTCAGCAGGCGACTCCTGGCGCGCTTCACCTTGCGCCTTGCATAGCTCGTTGTTTTCTTTACGTAGCCTCTCCACCTCGTTAACGCCTTCATGCCGGCCGACATCTATGCCACTTGGTGAATCAACGCGTTACATGCTGCTTGATCCATGTGTCGCAAGCTATGTCTAGTAGGCAACTGGGCATCCGTGACTAACTGGCAACGATGCAAGCGCAAAAGCTATCGGAGTCGGGCAAGTATAATTTGATGTACATTGCAGCCAACTGCTTTGCAGCCCATCGTACTAGTTACACCCGTGCCACTAAACTACCCTGGAAAAGCGGGGTGAACTAGGAAAGTAGCTCTGATACCAGGTGTTATGAGTTCTGAAACAGAGTTGCGCGGAAAAGGAATAACAACGCCGTGACACCATGAATACACGATACAAAAAAAAGGACTAGCGATTTTATGACGAGGCAATCTAGCTAGGCGGGAACCTCGGGAACGCGAGGTTGGGTGCAGTTTGGAAAAGGGAAAGCCGAAGGCGACGTGAGGTTGCTTCGGCAGCAAGCAAACAGGCCGAAAGTGCACTTCCGAAAGTTGGGATTGTACGCGGTTGAGTAAACCCAGGTAAAGAAAATGGTTTTTCCTTACATTGAGTGTCTAATTGACAGTTCTACACCTTCCCCACAGATTTCACCGGCCGCCAGCACCATATCGAATTGGAGCCGTTGACGCAGGGAGAAGACCTGGCAGCTGTTTTTTGTCGCGCGAGCGCTCCAGCCAGACGCAGCTGCGATGCGAACATTTAGCGAGCCGCGAAGAGACCACTCGCCCTGTCGGCAGGGTCTCACGCAGCCCAGCCCTGGCGGTGTGCCTCATGGCCGTCGGATTCCAGAGCGCCTGACGGCTTGTTTGAAGCATTTGAATTCGAGACGAGAACAAGGGAGATTACATGTTTTGACAAGTGTCCTTCCGTAAACTAAACGAAGAGGCTATCTCGACGCAGCTAGGCAGCGCATGAAATGTTCTCCAAACGATAGATCACTCAAGTGTTTTGCATATATTTAAAGTCCATATATGTTTTGTTAAGCAGGGGTATGGTATACTGTAAATGTGCATATAAAAAAAGGAACAATTCTCACACAAATATTAAAAGTCTCATGAAAATGATACAGATAAATATACAAAAATTTTAGGAGAACGAAAACAATTATGCAAACATCATTGCGGACCTTTTTACTATAAATGAAAAAGCCAATTAAAAAAGTTAAACGTAATGTTCTTTAAAGGTAGAAAGTATGTTATTATCAAACATTCTACTATTCTTCTCAAACGCAGAGTCCAACAATAGATTTGCCTTATACACCCTCTTTTGCGCCACACTTACCTTCTCCATATTAACGATTCAATTGTACTGACTACAATGCGTCCAAAAAGGACCCAGAAAATACCATATAAGCACATTTGCCGCACTCAACTGCATGCAAAGGCAAGTTTTCTTCCATTTCCAGCACGGTGAGGAAGAGGGTGGATTTATTCCGTTAGTTTATCGTTATATTTCTATCGCGTTAACAATGTTATCAATATTATTATCTTTGTAGAACAATTGATCTTTATACATACATTGTTTTGTAATACCTTAGAAGTTTCTGAGCCGAGTTGCATTTGTTTCGAGCAGTTTCGGTCGTATTTGGCCGCTGGGTGACTCGTTGATAAAGTTAAAAAACACTTTAGTCTTGAATGACTTTTGCAATATCTCTATCATTGGTTTGGAGGGAGCAGCGACTACCGAAGGGAATGACAACTAAAAGTATCGCCTCCACTGCAAACAGCCGCTGCTCACCGGACACACAGCAATGCTTGCTGGCGTCATACCCCATGCGGCGATAGAGGCAACAGGCCAAATTCAGTTAGGCTTGAAGAAAGATAAAGCAACTGCTTGTCGATCAGACTTCACAGCGTTCTACCGTGCAAGGTCCTCTTGTGGTAGTTATTTTTCAGACCCAACATCCTGTTGTAGTTCCATTTTTTTCTTATACAGCAGGGACTTAGGCCGGCACAGCTCTTCCACTGACGTTGTAACCCGAAATATGAGGGGCGCCGCGATGATGCGCGTTCTCTGCGTCTTCCTGGCCGTTGCGTGCGTTGCAACGGTGTCCGCCAGCAGCCCCATCGCTCGTCGCCCACCTAAGGTTATCCCTCTACTGCACCACCTGCATGCCGCATAGACATTCGCCAGCACTCCCGCGTGACGATTCACTTCTGGCAGGTTCTCGTTAACTTCCGCTTCGTGTCAAGGCAAGCTTGCGTGCACTCTCCGTCGCAGTCCCTCCAGTCAATACCCCACCATTCCCTATGCCGCTGTTCATTTACCCCTTCCATCGCCTCGCCCGTCCCTCCTCGTCGTCGCCAGGACGCGCCGGCGTGCGCGGCGTGCGACAACGGCACTCTCTGCGTGCCGCTCTTCTCCTTCTGCTTCTCCTCCTCCGGCCCCTCTTGCAAAGACGGCTCCGACTTCGGCGCGCCGTGCGCCGACTACCAGGTACCACCTGCGCCCAGCTACTAGGTTTCCCACTCTCCCTCTCGCCCCGCCACAACCCTCCCGCGACGACACAGCGTGCGTCTCACCTCTTTTCCTCACGAGCCCGCGCTAGAGCTGTCACGCACACTCGCCACGCGTCCCGCACACTTGTCAGTTTCCCACTGCGGCGAGTTACACTGTTGTCTAATCACCTCCCACACACCGCGGTTCGCCTCCCGGGCGAGCGACATTCGACACATGCGGTGCGAGTCAGCCAACGGGAGCACAGTCCCGGTCGCCTCTCCGAAGACACGTCATTAAGCCCCGCTCGCTCCCCCTTTCTCCCCACCCCACTGCCGTGCGCGCGTGCCCGCAGTGCCCCGCGGGGTCGTCCAAGTGCGCGGACGAGCAGCAGTGCGTGCTGGACTCGGCGCGCTGCGACGGCACCAAGGACTGCCGCGACGGCTCGGACGAGGATCCCAAGGCGTGCGCTGCCTTCGACTGCTCCTCCATTGGCATGGTACGCAACGCGAGTGCTGGTAGGCGGTATGGGGATGGTAGGCGAGTGCTCTATGGCCACGGCGGCCACTGCTGCGACAAATATCACTGTTACTCACGCTCCTTTCACACCCTACCCCCCTTCACCCGCTCGTTCCCTGCCATTTCCACGGGTACACTGCTGACTTCCCTCACCGCGTCCTCCCCGCGCCATCTCCCACGTCCCCCGCGCGGCAGGAGCGGTGTCCGCTGGGGGCGGCGCAGTGCGTGGCGGGGTACCTGCTGTGCGACGGCAAGCCGTCGTGCCCCAACGCCACGGACGAGCACCCCGCCTTCTGCTCGCAGTACCAGTGCAGCGCGGGCGGCCGGGTAAGTGCTGCTGGTGTGGGAGAGAGATACGCGAAGGGGGGTGTGAACGGATTGGCATCGAAACCGCGTACCTCCTCGCCTCCTCCCGCCTCAGCTCCCGTGCTGCTTTGCCCTTCCCTCTCTCGCCCTTCACCCTCCCCATTCTTCCCCTCATCCTTCCTTACCACGCCCTCATCAAGCGTTGCCACCCCTTCCCTCCGAGCACACCCCTCTCTGCGCGCTTCTGAGTCTGCCAACTAACCATCGTCTCCCCTGCTCCCCGTGTGCCCACAACAGCAACAGTGCCCGTCCGGTACGGGGTGCATGTTCCTCGGACAGGCGTGCGACGGCGTGAGCGACTGCAGCGACGGCAGCGACGAGGACGAAGCTTTCTGCAAAACCTTCAACTGCAGCGACGCTGGCAAGGTCAGTCAACGCAATCAGTGCATTCATGCTGGCAAAGTGTTTCAACGCGAGTCAACTGCATTCATGCTAAATATTTAATTCTGTGCGATTCACGCCAAGTCAACTTTCGCAGCCCTCTCGCCTCGCCCTCTCACGTCGCACTCTCACGTCGCACTCTCACGTCGCACTCTCACGTCGCACTCTCACGTCGCACTCTCACGTCGCACTCTCACGTCGCACTCTCACGTCGCACTCTCACGTCGCACTCTCACGTCGCCCTCTCGCCCACCAGAGCACATGTCCGTCCGGAGTGGGGTGCATCTTCCCCGACGCCATGTGCAACGGCCGCGCTGACTGCACTGACGGCAGCGACGAGGCCGCCACCACCTGCAACGACTCCTTCGACTGCTCCGCCACTGGCCGGGTGAGCCGCCACCCTTGCCATGCCTCACACTAGCTGCCCTTTTATGTTCCTCCTCCTCGCCTGCCAGTGTGCTGGCAACCACACCAGCCACCAGTCTGCGGCCTGCTAACCCCGCGCACTTCACTTCCCCACTCCCCCTCGTGTGACCTGCTCAGGTGGCGTGTCCGCTGAAGGGCGGGTGCGTGTGGGAGTACCAGCTGTGCGACGGCATGCCTGACTGCCGTGATGGCAGCGACGAGCTGCCGCAGTTCTGCTCCAAGTTCAACTGCTCCAACTCCTACCGGGTACGCTGCTCCCCTCGCTGCTGCCCCGTTCGCTGCTCTGCCGGTTTCTCCGATCGCTGCTCCCCATGCCACTCTTCCCTGCTGAGTTCAAACCCTGCTGCAAGCACTCTGTGATGGCTGGATTGTTGCTACTTTGACTTGAGACTCACCCTCAATCCCTCTTCGTTCTCCCCAAATGCAGACGCAGTGCCCAGGAGGGCAGCAGTGCACGTACGAGGGGCTGCTGTGCGATGGGCGGAAGGACTGCAGTGACGGCAGTGATGAGGGCGCGCTCTTCTGTAGCAGCTACAACTGCTCGGACACTGACAGGGTGCGTTGCGGATCCTTGGTTTCGAATGAATGATGATGGCATGTGGGGTGCTGCCACGTGGTCAAGAAGTGAAACATGTGAGTAGCATCTGCCACCCATTCACACGTCTCGCTCCCCATCCACCACCCCTTCCCCCCGTCCCCTCCATACGTGCAGGTGGTGTGTCCAACAGTGGACGGCTCAGCACCGGCATGTGTTTCGGCCTCTCTGCTCTGTGACGGCACGCCGCACTGTCCGGGCGACAGTGACGAGGACCGTGGCTTCTGTGCGGACCACGAGTGCGCGCCTGGCCTCATCAAGTGCCCCGGCTCGCTCCTCTGCGTGCCCGGCACGCTCTGCAACGGCTTCCCCGACTGCCGCATGCCCACCGCCCTCAACACCGCTCCTGACTCCGACCCTGTTGCTGGCCCTGATGCCGTCCCTCCTCTGAAGCCTGCTGTCATGCCTCGCACCACCGCTCCCACGGCTACTCCTGGTACGGATGGTACCACGGCTGGTGTGGGAGGAGTGATGCAAGGCGGAGCTGCTGTCATGATGCTGGAGGGCGTGGCTGCTGACGATGGAGGAGTCAGCGCTGACGAGGATCCAGCCATGTGTGCGGCTTACAAGTGCCCCGAGGGGTGGAGGAAGTGTGCGGACGGGCTGCAGTGCGTGTCAGAGGACGCTTGGTGCAGCGGCGTGAAGGAGTGCCACGATGGGACCGATGAGGACGAGGAGACATGCACGGGGTACGACTGCGCTGCCACAGGGCGCGTGCCGTGTCCAGGGGGAAAGTACTGCCTGTGGAACTACTGTGACGTGTGCAATGACGAGCGCCAGCCGCTGTGCCCTGATGCATCGGACCAGGCGGAGTCGGCGTGCCACCTGAAGCAGCAGTGCCCCGTGCGCTACTACAAGGACGCTCCCCTGCCCCGCCCCCTGCCGCTGCCCCAACAGGACGGCGCCGTGCAGGTGGAACCGGACAGCGAGGGGGCGGATGGCGCGGATGGGGGAGATGGTGATGCCAATGGGGGGAACGGAGCAGGGGAGGGTGGGGGGAAGGCGGGTGGGAGCCATCCGAAGAAGTATGCCAAGGTGAAGACGGGCACAGGGACGAGCGCTGCTGATGGCACTGCTGCTGCTAGTCAGAGTGCCAAGGGGGTTGAGGGTGGGAGAAGGCCCGGGCACCATGCGGCTGGAGTGGGTCACCATAAGAGCAAGGGGCAGCACAACAAGACGCAGTCCAGTGCTGACGCTGGCAGCGGGAGTGAGGAGGCCAAGGCTGGTAGTGGCAAGAAGGGAGCAATTGGTACAGAAGAGGCAACAGGCAAGGGCAGCGGCAGTGGCAAACCAGGGAAAGAGGGTGGTGCGAGCAGCAGTCCAAAGAAGCCTGGCAAGGGTGCAAGTCCCACAACAGGAGCTTCAAGGGGGAGTAAGGTGAATGGCACCAAGGCGGGCAAGGGGGGAGTAGAGAGCAATGGCACGACGGGAGGGAAGGGAGGTAAGGGTGATAAGAATGCGGGAGACAGTAGCAGCAACGGCACCACAAGCAGTGGCAAGAGCAGCAGCAAAGACATCAAGAGCAATGGCGATAGCAGCAAGGGCAGCAGTGGCGAGAGCAAGAAGGGCAAGTCAAGCACAGGAGATCAAGTGAAGACTGACAGCAGCAAGGCAAAGGGAAGCAGCGGTAGTGGCACCACTGGCACGAGCGAGGCTAAGGCGAAAGGGAAGGCGGAGGGAGGCAAGGGGTCGTCTGCTGGAAAGGTGGCTTCGAGCGGAAGCATGCAGGCAGAGGACAAATGTAGCAAGGGAAGCCAGAAGGGCAAGGCGAGCTAGGAGAACAAGGGGAGCACCGGCAGCGCGGCCAAAGGCAAGGGGGGTGACGGCACTGGTGTGACCAAAGGAAAGGGCTGACGACCACGAGACTCTGTGGGTATAGGTAGAACATTGATAGGTCTAGGAGCTAACTGATTTCTTATTTGTAGGGGGGCAGTGTCTTGCTGCACCTATTATCCCTAGTATGTAGTGCACAGTTACAGATTTTTGTGCGATTTTTTTTTATGTGCTTTGATTAGCAGTTTCTTATAACTATTGCATGCATGTAAACCACAGCAAAAAAAGGACAAATTGCAGAAGAGGGGATAAAACGGGATAAATTGCAGAAGTAATCCCAGTGAACCCTGATGAGCATTTACAAGCTCTGCTTCTACCCTTGGGGAACCCGCCCTAACCTCAAATGCACTAACACATCCCGTTACAAAAAGCAGAAAACTGTCATGATGGCATCTCCAGCAAGGAGTGTACAGCTTTCACACATTGTAAGGAGGCTCGTTGGCCTTGCCTGCTGGTGGCACAGCAGCGTCTGCAATGGCCTTGAGCATGCGGCGTTTGTAGATGCGGATGGTGTAGTACCAGAACATGGCGATGTAGATGAACGCCGCGAAGTACGCCATGGCACATGCCCCTCGCACCTTGCTCAGATCCACATTCGCATCGTTCACGAGATGCTTGAGATAAGGGTACATTCCGCTGTGGACAGCGTCCCAATCGATGTGTCCCAATCGATTCTACCGCACTGCATCTTATTACACCGAATTACACCCTAGTTTCAAAATTTTCGCTTCTCTGGTTTAGTTCGGTTCGGAGCGGTACACCCGATTGGGACATGTACGATTGGGACATGTCCAGGGCGGAATGTACCCTAAGTTCCGTAGTTCACGTGTGAAGGGACTGCGGTGCTCATGCCAAATGCGGCGAGCATGGCCTCGGTTGCGCTGTCGCTGTAATCTCCAGTCACCGCACTGTCAACGACATGGAAAAGAAGAAATCAAAACGTCAAACGTAGAAATGCAAAATCATGCACATTCTTCATACCTCAACCTCATTTCACAGCAGCATTGCTATATGAACATGCTACCATGCGCCTTTTGCAGCACGTGCGCCAGGCCTCTGGTTAACAGGGTGATTCACCCTTATGACCCTTACTATAAGGCTGGGTTTGACTATGCACCCTTTTTTATCAGAGTGGTCGTTCTTTTTACCCTTACAAAACAAGAGTAGTTCTTGTGATCTACCCTTACAGAAAAAGTGAAAGTGGGGTGTTGGCCTTACGTGAAAGAGTAGTTCAAAACCTAACCAGAGCCCTGACGTGCGCTATACTAGGTGAGCATACCTGTTCAAGGCGCTAATGTTCCACCACGTGTTGCACGCAGCTGCTCCAGACATGGCGGCGGCGAACAGGAGAAGTGACATAATTTGTCAAATCAGAAAGGAGTTTGGACAAAAAGAATGCAATCCGCTTTACACACGAGAACGAATTCTGGAAAAGAGAACACGAACAACGTTCAAGGGTTGAACAAATATGTTAGAAAAAGGCAAGAGAAGTTCAGAGCCTTTTTCAAACCACCGTTCACAAGTCATGTCACTAACTAGCCCCTCTCAAGGTACCATATGCTGTCAAAAGTCGCATCGCACAGCAGGAGACGAGTATGCGCGCGACTCGGAGAGAGACGACGTCTCAAAACGGTGCAACACGCTTTAAAAAGATCGCGTAACTCCCAAGAGTTCAATCGAAATCGCAAGCAGTTCTCAAGGGTCTGATGTGTCACGCAGCTGTCTAAGAAGCGCACGAGCAGCGCAGCTCTCTGCGGTCTTTGACTCACGTAGGTCTCGAAGAACTGCACGAGGTCCATGACGGCGTCGTACGCCTCGGAGCCCGCCACGCACATGCGCACGGAGTTGTAGACGAGCAGCATGAGCGCCAAGATAAACCCCAGAATGGTGACGCCCACCAGAAACGCACCCGCGGCGTACCCCGTCACTGTCGCCTTGGTCGCAAAGCACAGGCTGCGGGCAATTTTGAAGAAGAAATTAGGAGAAAAATAGAACGGTGAGTGAATAAAAAATAAAAAAAAAGCTTAATCATTCTGGGACGGCTTGAGATGAAGTTATTGTCAAACATATGCTGCATATTGTCTAGGCTGTAGTGGGGTAGCCCATATGGGATACAACCCAATTAGGGTTTACTACTTGTACTCCTGCATGCTGTTAGTTCATTCATTCCTGCTGCTAGATTCTAACATGGTTTCAGAGCACTAAGGTCCGTAGGACCGTTTTTTTTTCGGGCCCACCTACCGCTGCGGTTACCGCGCTACCCCACGTACCTGCCTGCCTTGCCTTGCCTTGTGACGTGCTGCACTACGCGCGCCGTCCAGCAGCCCTAGCGCTGCCTCCTGCTGCCCTAGGCCAGCGCGCTGCCCCTACAAGCCTGTAAGGCCCGCGCGCCGCCCCTACACGCCCTTCAGGCCCGCGAACAGCCCCTGCTGCCGCGCGCTGCCCGCACCGAGCCCGCGCAGCCCGCGCCGAGCCGCGCGCAGCCCGCTGCTGCCGCGCGCTGCCCGCACCGAGCCCGCGCAGCCCGCGCCGAGCCGCGCGCAGCCCGCTGCTGCCGCGCGCTGCCCGCACCGAGCCCGCGCAGCCCGCGCCGAGCCGCGCGCGGCCCGCTACTGCTGCGCGCAGCCCGCGCCGAGCCCGTGCAGCCCGCGCCGAGCCGCGCGCAGCCCGCTGCTGCCGCGCGCAGCCCGCGCCGAGCCCGCGCAGCCCGCGCCGAGCCGCGCGCGGCCCGCTACTGCCGCGCGCGGCCCGCAGCAGCCCGCGCCGAGCCGCGCGCGGCCCGCTACTGCCTCGCGCGACCCGCGCGCGGCCTGCAGCAGCCCAGCGCGCTGTCAGCGCAGCCCGCGCCGAGCCGCGCGCGGCCCTCTGCCTCGGCCCCGACCTGCCGCTGATGCGGCCCCGCCCTGCAGCTGCCACGGCCCCGACCTGCCGCTGATGCGGCCCCGCCCTGCAGCTGCCGCGACCCCGACCTGCCGCTGCCGCTGAAGCGGTCCCGCCCTGCAGCTGCCGCGGCCCTACTCTGCAGCCGCTGTTGCGGCCCCGCCGTCGCCGCCGTCGTACGCCTGCCGGCCGCCGCCCGCCGAGCGCCGATCCTGCTCGCCCGCCGAGCGCCTGCCCTTTCCAGCCTTTGGTGAGCACCTGCCTGCCTGCCTGCCTGCCTGTCTGCCGGCCTGCCTGCCTGTCTGCCTGCCGGCCTGCCTGTCTGCCTGCCTGTCTGCCTGCCTGCCTGCCTACCTGCCTGCCGGCCTGCCTGTCTGCCTGCCTGCCTGCCTGTCTGCCTGCCTGCCTGCCTGTCTGTCTGCCTGCCTGCCTGTCTGCCTGCCTGCCTGCCTGCCTGCTTGCTTGCCTGCCTGCCGGCCTACCTGCCTGCCGGCCTGTCTGCCTGCCTGCCGCGCCTGCCCGAGCTGCTGCTGCTACTCCTGCTACTAGCAGGTGGCCAGATGCAGCTCCAGCGTCGTTCCCGCGAGTCTCTCACGCCCCAGCAGCTTGATGAGTGGTATACTAGTTGGGGCTGTCGCGGTTGTCGTCGTAGCAGTCGTCCTGGAGCTGGTCAGTTGGGGGCGTCTGGCAGTGGCCAGCTGCAGCTGCAGGGGCGTCCACGCGAGACACTTACGCCCCGGCAGCTCCAGGAGTGGTACGCTCAGTGTAGCAGGTCTTCGCGTACCGTTCGCTGCCCGTACGTCATTCGCCCTAGTGTTGGACTGGTCAGCCTTGCGGGACGCTTGGTCACACACCGTCCCGCTGCTTCGCCCGTCTGAGCGACGCCTGGCGTACCGTGTTTGGCGACGAGGCTGAGCTCCCTACCTGGGTGGAGCTGCTTGGACAGAGGGTAGATATCTTTGCTCTTGACTATGATGCTATTCTCACTGCCATGTATGCATTGCCTACTAGTGTTGACCGTGCCTGTTACCTGTGCGTACCGCCTGACCCTGGTATAGCGTCTCCTGCTCTCGGTGCTGGTGAGGCTGCTGCTCTAGGTGCTGGTGTGTCTCCTGCTCTAGGTGCTGGTGAGGCTGCTGCTCTAGGTGCTGGTGTGTCTCCTGCTCTAGGTGCTGGTGAGGCTGCTGCTCCAGGTGCTGGTGAGTCTGCTCTCTCTGGTACTGCGCCTGCTGCGGTCTTGCACACCTTCACCCTTGACTCAGGAGCTTCCCGCTCCTTCTTTCGCGACTGCACCACACTCACGCCGCTTAGTCGGCCAGTTCCGGTCTCCTTGGCGGACCCCTCCGGGGGTCCAGTCCTTGCCCACTACTCCACGGTTCTGCCGTGTCCGGCCGCCCCGTCTGGCTCGCTGTCAGGTCTTTACCTCCCCTCGTTCTCTACGAACTTGGTGAGTGGAGCTAACCTCCAAGATAGGGGGGTTCACCAGTTCACTCCTGCGAGTCAGCGAGTGACTCACTGCACGTGTGCTCGGACGGGCCGGCACTTGGCCACGTTTACCCGTGCGCCTGGCTCGAGAATGTACACACTGACCACTACGTCCCCTCAGGTAGCTGCGTCTGCGTCTGCGTCAGGTCAGCTGGCGGCCCCCTGCGAGTGTCTCACTTTGTCGCACGACACTCTCCTGTGGCACCACCGCCTTGGTCACCCCTCCCTGCCTCGCCTTCGTAGCATGCACTCTCGCTCCCTGGTCTCTGGTCTTCCCAGGTCTCTGCCTGCCCTCCCTCCCTCGCCTGCGCCACCCTGCATTCCTTGCGTCGAGGGGCGGCAGCGCGCCGCTCCTCACTCCTCCTCGTTCCCTCCCACAGAGGCTCCCCTGCAGACTCTCCACTTGGACGTGTGGGGCCCAGCCCGCGTCCGTGGACAGGGCCACGAGCGGTACTTTCTGCTGGTCGTCGATGACTACACGCGTTACACCACGGTCTTCCCCTTGCGCACCAAGGGTGAGGTCCCTGATGTTTTGATCCCTTGGATCCGCACTGTTCGTCTCCAGCTCCGCGAGCGGT